GTCTTAGTGACACTGGGTCATGGCGTCTTCCTAAGTTCTTGGTCAAATTACTTGATCAAGATTTCAAATTGGCAAGATTTCAAGAGTCAGGTATTCTGTTTTGTCCTGTGTATGTGTCAAAGCCCTCTTCCTCAGCAAAGGTTACAGGTGACCTGTTGGGATGGAGTGGCTCAAGGTAAAGGGGTGAAGAAGGTCTCAACTTCCAGTAGCTGTGTCAAGGCGAAGACCTCTTTGGTCCCCAGCCATATGGAGGCAGGTATTGGAGATGTTATTTCTTGCTGTTTGTCCCAAGTGGGTCTCTACATGTATCCCCACATATGACACTTCCATGAATGCTAGTATCTTGTAGTCCAAGTCTATATACTCAAAGTTAAAAAAAATATTTATGTGTGCACATATGCAGAGGCCAGAGGACCCAGGACTGAACTCAGATTGTTAGGCTTTCTCAACAAGTACTTTTCCCCACTGAGCCATCTGGCTGGCCCACCTCACATCCTTTTGAATGATTCAGGGGAAAAATAGCTTTATGTTGCTGTTATTTGCCCAAAAGAAAGAAGCACTGATGCTCAGATATAAGTCTAGAGACTTTCATTTTCAAAGCAAGGAGGTAGGCTAGAGAGATGGCTCAACAGTTAAGAGTACTTGCTGCTCTTTCAGAGGATCAGAATTTGGTTCCTAGCACTCACATCTGGTGGCTCACAACCACTTGTAACTCCAGCTCTAGGAAACCTAAAACCCTTTTCTGTCCTCTGCAGGTACACATGCATGTGTGAGCACACAAAAATGAAAAAGGAATAAATCTTTAAAAGGAATCAGGAGGAGCTGGAGAGATGGCTTAGTAGGTAAGAGCACATGCTGTGTAATGATGATTGAGGTTGCATCCCAGCACTTATGTAAAATGCTAGGTATGGATGTGTCCTCAACTGTAATCCCTGTCCCTTGGGGAACAGACACTGGAAGATCACTGGACCTTGCTGCTCACCAGTCTAGCTCCAGGTTCAATGAGAGACCCTTTCTCAAGGGAATCAGGCAGAGAGTGATAGTGCAGGACACCTAATGGACTCCTCTGGACTCTGCCCACTGGCACAAATGTACTCTTTCTTTCTCTCTCTCTCTCTCTCAAAAATAAATACAAGAAATTAGGAACAGAAAACATTCTTATATCAGAATAACTACTTCAAAGTAGCAAGATTTAGCAATTCCTGGCAAGAAGCAGGCTGAAGTTATAAGGTTATCAAGATGAGAATTAGAAACACTACATTTATATATTAGCTTTAAATTCAAAATGAAGTTTTCCATAAATGTGTTTTGTCTTATTATACTAGTTCATAATAATAGCTAACCATAGGTAACTATTTCCTATTGTGAAAAAGTTTTATATATTGCTTATTTCCTTTAAGAAAACAAACTATGTAGATGTTTGTGTGGATGCCACATAAAGGCATGTGCATATTTTGCCATCTTAGATTGGGGACAAGTGATTTATTCTCAGCTGAGGCATTGACAAGTTTCACGTTGGCCAATATTAAACATGTGATAACAGAGCAACAGGCGGCCTGTCAATTACTAGGGAATAAAACCTCCGCTACCAGCCACCTGCAGACCTTCAGCGTCGCCTCCTCATTCCCTGACAATTTTGCTCATCTGCTCAAAAAATTCTAACATATTCTACATTCTGTTTTCCAACTTAAAAAAAAATTCTTTGCTAAGACTATTTTGGCAATCAGATGCTTTTCAAAAACAACAAAAATATCCAAGCATTTTTTGGCCTTACCTTCTGTTCTCTACTTTTCTCTGGAGAGAGATGCTCTGTGCCCCCATGGTCCCTTTTCCCCATGGCAGGTTCTTCATGGTCTGACCTTGAGCTCCAGGCACCTTCCAGTTTGCTCTCTGACAGTGATGGGTCCTTCTGCTCTGATATTATTTCAAAACAATCTTCTCTAAGGTATGTTTTGTCATCTGTCAATTAATGTTCTGGGACAAGGGGTCCCTAGTTAAGTAAGTTTGGGAAATAAATCCTGAGTTGAGCAAATTCTATTGCTGAAAAATTTCTAAAAGTACTTGATTGCTGATCGAACTCCCAGCGGGACACAGCATGCTGCTTTCTTTTAATCTTCCTGGCATCAGAAAGCCCATTTTGCTATTGTATCCCAAGCATATCTTGTACAGCTAATGTTTCACAAGACCAGGAAAGAGGTAGGGGCGTATGCACAAACCTTAAATGCTTTGATGTGAGGGAACCTCACACGACTGTTCCTTGGTGATCATGACAGCTTTCTTCTGCATTATGTCTTTCTTTTCTCTCTTCCCTCCCTGCCTCCCTCCCTCCCCCCCCCCCTCCCCCCCCCCCTCTCCCCCCTCCCCCTCCTTTCGCATAAAAATTTTTTTTTTTCCTTTTCAT